ATCGATTTTATGATACTGCCTCGATTCCGAGTCGCAGATTTCGAATGTGTCGTGCCATTCAGTAGATATTTTCATCGACCCCCTCCAGTACCCTGAAATTGTTTGGCGCCCTCGTTGTCATGTCTGCTGCCGCTATCAAGCAGTCCGTGAGCACGCTCTTGGCTGATGAGTGCTCCGTGCTGCCCGCCGAGTTGACCAAGTGGCTCACAAACCGTTTGGACTCTGCTGTTGCGACGCAGGGTCTGTTGCCCCGCGCCAACGAATGGTGAGTCCGTTGGGAGTGGAAAACGATGCGCTTCAGTTGTACTACTCCGTTCCACAAAAACTGTCAGGTAGTTATTCACTTGATTGAAGTATATACAGGGCAAGTGAAACGACTTGATTTTTGTTTGCCACTGCTGATGTTGAGCTTGCCCATTAGGGTTGCCGTGGTGACTCCGCCGTTGGCGACGATGAACTAGCGGTTGCATGGCGTCTTGGCGTACAAGTGGTCGGCCGCGCCAGACATGTGTGTCGAGGCGCCAGAGTCGATCACGATGCGGTGTTCGATGGTTCGTGTGTCGCAGTCTTCAACTAAAGTGCCTTGTCGGCTTCGTCGTCGCTGTCTTCTGAAAATGGTATGTCGGCTTCATCTTCGATGTCATCGCTAGGTTGTGGGGTTGCGAGGGACGACTCGGTTTCGAACTCCGGCTCAATTTTGTCTTCGCTTGAGGATACGGTTTCGGTGTCGGCGGCGGTGCCGATGGGATGGAGGTACAGTACCTGTGTCGTCGTTGTATGTAACGGATGTCTTCTGCTTGTGCCGAGAATCGTAAGTTGGGGAAGAGGAATTCGCTGTCTGCGATATATGTCTCGTGGGCTTTGACTCCAAGCCACGGGCAGTATTTGGACTCGTCGAGCGGGGTGCACTCGCTCTCAGGTCGTACTCTGTAACTAGGTACCGACGGCAGAGTCAAGGGGGTAAAGTCAAGGCCTGTGTCGGGTCTTGGATTCGTTGGATTTGAAGTGCTGCGAGGTCTTGGCGGCTCAAGAAGGTCAGTTTGTACGGGATTCTCCCGATGGACAGTTGTCTGACATCTTGACGCGTAGGTGACCAGTCTGGTTCGGTGCGGAGTGGAAGAGCTTCGCCGGGCTCCCCAAGTTTGATGGGTTCTGTGTTGCCAACATCAACGACGGCGGGCTGGACGACTTCGTCTTCCTTCGATTCGTTGTCTGGGTTGACCATGTCTAGGTCGTGTCCGTTCTCGAACATTGAGAACAAATAGACAGCTGCGTTGGAGTGGTCTTCCTTGGTGACGCGTGTCTTGACTCCGTGGCGGCCGCTCTCGCGGGACTTCTTGCGGCATTCGGCCTGCCAGTGCCCAGTCTTACCACAGTAGTGACATGTGCCCTTGGAAGAAGTGCGCTCGCCCCGTTCGGCATGGCCACTTCGTGATGCGCCGTGTCCTTGGCTTCGCCCACGCGCCTTTTCATTCGGCTTCAAGGGCGACCTTCGTCTTGGCGACGATTTGATCTTCGTCGAGCAAGGTCGACAAGAGGTCCACAAGGTGTTGAAACTCCCACGGCATCAAGGCAAGTAGCTTCACTACTTGGCTGGCAACAGACTCACCCGCGTGTACCTTCTTTAGGCAGCGCACCAGTACTTGGAACCTGTATATGAAGTCTGGTAGTGTCTCCTGGCGCGGATCACAGGTGAACTTGGCAAATTCCATCGCGACTTGGATACGATTGATCTTCGTTGTCGGCTGATGATGTGCTACGAGTGCTTCGTAGGCTGTGTGGACATGCTTCATGCCCTCGATGTGGCGGTATTGGCTGGGCGCGATCGTTTCGATGAGGATCCCCGTCCCTTCTGGTCGCCGATGCTTCATGCTTCGTTACATGCTGAAACATTCGGTAAGTTGGTCATGCATTTCCTTCGACATGAGTCTTCCGCTGAAATAGGTCTTCCAGTCGCTGAAGTTGTGCTCGTTGAGATTCAGTGTTGGAGTGATGTTCGCCCGTCTTCCTCCTTGTTTGTTTGCCGGGGTTTTGGGTTCA